GGAAGTTTTCTAACTTGTAACTATGCCTTCGGTGTTTCCATCGCGACTAATGGCAAACAGTTTGTTATATGTATTAGGAAAAATAAAACAAAGATTAAGGTAAACAACGAAGCCAGCAGACGAAATGCTTCAATATCATCTACGTCTGGCGAGCATCACAAAGTGAAACAAAACGTAATACAGAATATATGCACATCGAATGGAAGACGCATTCAACGGTGAGAAGAATTCAACAAAAATCAGTCGAATAGTTCTCTGATGACCATCATGCCATGTGTGCATGAACTGGATCTTCTAGTTACTGAGAAAGAAAAACTTCATTAGCCTATTTTCTGTGTACATTACAATATTTTTGTGTGGACAATAATATGTTCTTAAAACTTTCTGCTGAGTGCTTGGAAGCATATGAGTAGATACTACAGACTCATGAGTAGTATTTAATTTATAAAATAATAGGTTAAGGTTTTTTATAAAAAAGAAAAAAATTTATTCTCTTCAGTTATGTTTGAGTATCATATTTTTAAACTGTTTTCCCAATGTGACAAAAATTCAGTTGGTCGTTTAAAGCTCGAACAGTCCTATAGCAGATTTTTGCTAGCAAGATAGAATATTTGTGTTGCAGAATATTAACATTTTCACAGACATAATACAAAAATTAAGAAATTCTAGTGTCTTTTTTGCCGTTTTTGCGACTATAAATGGTAAACCATATATATAGTTCATTGCATTTATTTTTTCGATATTTGTCGATTTCAACATTCTGAGGTAGATCAAAAAAATCCAGTAGAGAAAATATTAAAATATTTCATTAAGTTCGGCAAACATTGTATAGAAAGGATTACAAAAGTGTTGATATGAGTATTGGTTTTTGACGATTAAAACAATATAGTAGTCCTTCATTCAGAAATAAAGTCAAATAATTTATGTAGTAGAATTCATTAAAATGTTTGAAGTCCTTGCAGATTGTATAAATGTTGTTGTCTCTTTTTTTTTATTTTTATGTAACGAAAGACAAAAAAGGAGGTCATGAGGTAGTGATGGTGAAGTTAGATTTCGGTGGGTTTATCGATAAACCATCACTTTCGGACCTCCTTACATTGTTAGATTAAAATAGTATGTTAAGTTGAAACCAAATTGATGTTGAGCAATAATATTTCGAAATAGCGTCGAATACAAAAGTATTTCTTATGAAAAACACTTCTTATCGATGGCTATGTCATGTTCTTCAAGTAATTACTCAACAACAAGTATGTTTTACTGTAGACAATAGTTGTTTAAGAATATGAAAAAAGTTTCGAAAGTTTTTCATTATTATAAAATACATCGTGTCAAATACCTTTAATTTTTTCGAAGTAGAATCAGCTTATTTTATATATGTGTTGTAGTAGAATTTTAATTGATTTTCATTTTCTTATTACACACAGTTTTCTGGCAACACAGTATAAAATCTCCAGATTTTTTATCAGCATATTTTTAGCATATTACTTTGATTGATTTGTGCATATTATTGTTCTTAGATTTTTAGGAAAGTTCTTTCCACGATAGATTCCTGAAAGAAAATTCTGCTAAAAATGAGCAAATCATTTTTCTTAATTAGAAAAGCAACAACTCTTGCTCTGTAGTTCTATTTTCTCAACATGGTAAGATTCAGTGCCTTTTAGAAAAACGATTTAGTAATATTCATAACAACATTTCATTTGGGCAAAGCCTTAGCAATTCATCGTTGTTTGATGTTTACTCCATTGTGAAATAATAGATTTGACGTCTTACAAATACCTAGGTCTAACCAAAATTTTAGGTAACACTATTTGCAGTTTTATAAATCAGTTAATATGTACCAGGCTCCTGCATGAATAACGAGTAGAATGTCTTACATATAATTATATATTTAATAAATTTAGTTTGGGTTTAGTTCTAATATTCTTTTGGACAAAATCCAATTCTAACAAAAAAAATGTGGAACAATGGATAATGAGTTCGATCTAAACTATATTTAAATTCAAACTATTCTGAAAATAAATGCAAAGAGAATTTATGAAGAACTTACAAAATCCTTGGAGTCTTTTGATATGGTCATCTGGTCTCCGAGCTGATAGATTTAAATATTGAATTGACACGACAAATCATCAACAATGATCCGCATTCAACTCATTATGGTATTATAGTTGACATTTCTTTTTCTCATGGTACAATAAAACAAATTATCCACGATTGTTTGAAGATGAGAAAAGTCATATCACGTCGGATACCTGCCAACTCAATTATGAACAAAAACAAGAGCAAGTTAGATTTTGTCGTGAAAATTTGGCGAAATTTCATGATGGATCATGACGATTATGTAATATTATTACAGTGATGTTCAAGTATTATTTGATGTTTTATTTTTATCAATTGTTATCAAGTTTAATAGGACAAATACACATGGACAAGTTCGTTCCGATTCTGATGGTAGTGGAAACGAAAACTGACTCGTTCTGCTTATTCTCAAGTACTGCAGTATCGTATTTAAAAAGAAATATGTTAGGCCGATGTCGGATTTGTATTACTTGAATATGAATTACACTTGTTCTTATGATATTCATCAAAATCGTGCAACCAATAACGGAAATTAATCTTATTTATTAATGCTTATTAATAAAATACGAAGGATATTTTAAAAGAATTTTCGCTAATTCTTTAGACCACGTCATAGAATACTCATTTTATTTGATCTCCTAGTGAATAATTCATTCATTAGTTCTTATGATTAGAACCTTGTTCAATATAGTTATACGATGGGGGTCAAACGGTTTAGAAATAAAGTATCTTTAACTTCTTTTCTTAACCTTAAGAGCTAGAACAAATCGAAAAAAATTTTCATTAGTAGATTTAGGTGAAGGTCTCTAGTAAAACCAAAACTAACACAACCAAATTTCTAGATTCTATCAAAAACATTTTGGAAACAAGTTCATCTAATAAAAAAACTTTTGGAGAAAAATAAGATATCCATGATCTATCTTCAGTGGACGACAGTCATTGTACGATAAACCTCAATAGATGTTTTCTATCATTTTTAGAGAAATCTATATGTGTTTACACGGTGCTTTACATTTGCGGATCTTTCATAGAATGAATGCAATTTGCTAAAGATAGTTTGTGAATATTTTGTTTTGTTCAAAAATGTTGTCTATGTGAAATGAGCGTGTTAGTAAAACGTTTTCGATCGAAGCCAGAAAATCAATATTAGTAGTCTTGATTTATCAGAAAAATTTCATCCTAACCTGTGAATAGAAATTCGAGAAGTGGTCAGCTGTTACTGTTAAAAAAAGAAAAGTTATTCCATCAGTATTCTATGTAACTAAGTAAATCTCTGAATTGGATGATATACTACGATTCGAACAAGAAATCAAGTTTTACCTGACTATTCTATTGTCTCTGAACTTTGAAATAAAAAACTAGTACTTGTTACTTTGGAGTAGCATTGATGTTCGTTAGTTTATTTAAACATTAGGTTGTTGTTGTGTGAAATGTTCAGCACAAGAAACTGTGATATATACTTTTGGCATACGTCGTTTTACTGATTGATACAAATGTTTCTTATTATTTCGTTTATTGGTAACAAAAGATGATATAGAAGTTTTTCTTTCACGATTGCTCAGTGAGTTGATATTATGATTTTTATGTGATATTGTGTTAGCTATTTGTCCAAATGATATTTGTAATCGATCGAGTGTTTGTAAAAAATATTCATATCGATGATTTAATTGATGAATAGCTTTCTCATAATAAAAATTATTTTGATTTACTTTTTCTGGTTGACATATTGAGGAATGATTTGTATCAATTTTTGGTTGATTATTATTATTATTCGTCACAGTAGCAGATGAATTGGTATTAGCATATTCGGAGCAATAGATGTTAAAAGCATTTCGTGACAAAACGAATGGATCCATTCGAATTTACACAAAAAAAAAAACAATAAGAGATTTCTTTTATAAAAGCGCGTAAATTCTAAAAAGAGTTCATTCCATTCAAAACAAAACGACAATCGATAATTAGTAAATTTAACATCAGCTTGATCAAGATCACGTCTATGGGTATAATTAATAAGCCATGACATAAATTTATCTAGAATATTATCATCATATATTGTTTCAATAAATATATGCATCGTTTTTAATATTGAGTCATTTTTGAAAGAATAAGTATCATTAATACATACAAATCATAGGAATTTTTAATTGATAATGATTCAAGGTATGAAAAAATGATTGATAATTGTTCGAAAATAAATAAATTTGTCACTCTATCAATCGACCTGAATAAAAATAGGATATTTTAACAATATTATACCGACAATTAGATGATGTATCAGACCTTTTTTATCATATTATTACCATCGTATCGAATTAGTATCTAAAAGTAATTTTGACGTAATTGCACCGTACTTTGTTGTACTTGAATTCTGCTATTATCCTTTTGGCAATAACATCAAGAGTCTTGAAAGGATCGTGAAAGTAGGCAGCATAAAATACCCTATCAACTGATGCTAACTGCACCAGTTATCGAATTAATTTTGATGAGCAAAGACTCAGGCAAATCGGTCGATATATATGACAATTGAAAATATCGGTATTTGTTGAAACGACTATATATTTATTTAAAAGCATAGGGATGAAAACCGATTTGATCATGATCGAGCCGTTCAGCATCCTGTTTTCATGAAACGAGAACGCATCTCATACTGCGTTTTTTTGACAATGTTTAAATGCATCAAGATATTGAGACATTTGTGCCTATGTTTTTTTTGAAACTATAATATGTTTTCAGTTCCTAAGATCAGAACTCACTTCATATTTCTCGTTTCTCGGAATGGAATACAAAAGTGATACTCCTAATTTGGCAGCAGTAGTACGTTTCATTTAAGGTGTGGATCACGTGAGTTTTCCTATGGATAGAGATGTTGGTATGTATGTGACAGAAGACACTATATTCGAATTATATCGGCACTTACATTCATAACCCGCTACACGGAAGCCCTCTACACTGATACTCACGTTCACTTCGATCAAAGTGAATCATACTATCACTATGTGTAGTAGTTCGAGTTAGCTTTTCATTCGGCATTCCTATAATACTCTCGTGACGAGACTTTTTAGAGATTGAAAACTAGATCAATTTGCAGCATTTTTCACGAGCTACCTACTAAGGTATGATACAGGTTGAAGCAAGAAAGTCTATTTGTACAAGAAAGAAGAAAGAAGTGCATTTACCTATGTTTTATTCCAAATTAGGACAATGAAGATGGGGCTTCTCAGCGAAATGGTTCTCCGGAAAAGTGGTTTGTTTTTCAAAAGGTAACCTAAGTGAACGACTGGAGAATGTAGACTGTACCATGAATCATGGTTTTGTGAGCTTCCGTTAACAATGTCACATAGATGGTCAATGCGTTTCATATGCAGGGTACGAACATATTCTTTGAAATGTTACTCAAGTATCTTGACTATAGTATTGAAATCTTCACCATGTTGTGTTCTTCTATTTTATGTAGCATTCATTGATATCGACGATTAAAAAGTCTCGTGCGCTAAATATATTTCTTATGCACCTTCCCCTCTCTCTTTTCACAACATGAATTTTTAATATTTCCTCATCATCGAAGATCACATGGAATCAAAGAAGCCTCTACGCAACTCCTCTCAGAGGAGTGCTCCTGACGTTATCAGTCTGGGTCAAAAAACATCCTTATGTTTACATTTTATTGTTTAGTATTTACAAGAACATTCACCGTTTTACTATACCTTTTTTATCAGTCAAAAAATAATGTAGTGACTTGAAAAGCTTCTCATCTCTATTGTTTCACTTTCATTTGTAGTCCAATATATTGGTAATAATTACACAATATTCTCTTGTTTTTGTATATGTTTATAAATCATCACAAAGTGTATCAATAAGAATCTAATAAGCAAACTTAATATTTCTAGTTAAGTGCAATCATATTAATTGATATATTTGTTTTTTTTTTTACATTGTATATTATATTTCCTGATTTAAAATACATAACCTATGTATACTGTACTCATATGTCGTTTTCATAGATATTTCTTTTACCATTAATTATTATGATCAATAGAAACGGTTTTTTTTCTGAGAATTTCGATCAAATTTTGAACATTTTCGTCCTGTTTATCATATCTTCAGTGTGACATTCTCCTTTACAGCTCTTTTTTTACATATAGATAAGCAAATTTCTTCTGACTGATCTTTTCAAATTTGAGAATCATCTTCCACTTTGGAAAAGAAACATGATCATCTTTAGAACAATCCTCACTAGATACGTTACTCTCTATGATATAAATAAAAATGATTCAGCTATTCGATATAAATGTATGTTGTACAACTAAGATATCAATACAAGATTCTTAATGAGACACATGGTAGAAAAATTTTTGAAATCAATGAACTAGTATACAATTATAATAGAATAAATACAATAAGATATATTCACATGGTCTGACAGAAAAATAAGACTCTTTAGTGAAATAAATCAAGATTAATATCTAACATAGCAATATTACATAGACGATTTCGTGGATGTTGATGATGATACTTCCAGAACATATTTATATATAAATCAACAGAATTGATAAATATTCCACGTACAATTAAGTCAAGAACAAAGGAGACAATTGGAGAACCAATCTCATACTTTGTTTATTCTGCAAGACATTAAAAACAGATAAGATGAGTGTTTGAGAAATAATCAGATAATTATTGTGTCTTACCCACTGGCTATATCCTAGTTCAAAGAAAGTGTCAATATTGATGATGAATCCAATGCAAAAGACACAGACGACAGTAATTCTGTTTTTGCTGTATTTTGTTCAATATCGTTAGCAATTCAAAAACAAAACATAAAGTTTGTTGAGGTAAACAATAATAGCGCAAATCTTTTACTAGATATATAGAAAAGAAACATTTCCGTTAGTATACACATCTGTTCATCCATAAAATATTGAGACTTATTGTTTGATGAAACAGGAGAGTTATGTATTGCTATTATAGCAATATAAAACAATATGTTAAATATTATACGAACAAAATGATTCCAATGAAATCGGGCGATCGTATGTATCAAAACATGAATTGTTATGTTAATGTCGATCGGAGTCTTTAATATTTTATTTAATCCAAAGTCCTAAAACGATGACATGCTCATTTAAATTTGTTTCAAGAGGATTTGTCGTTCGATTAAAAATTAATCTTCATTTAGATGAAGCATACTGCAAATTCTTCATCATGTACTAAAAACTGTTTATGTAGTTGTCTTGAAATAATAGAAGGCAATCTCACTACAATGTAAAATGAAAAATAAAATAATATATTTTCGTTGTTCGTTATAATATCCGTTGTTGTACTCCTATTTTATAGTGTGTCATTAAATCTTGATGCAGTGAAAGAGATATTGTAGGAAAGCTATTCTCTGATCATGCTATCCTATTCAACTTTTTCTAAAGAAATAATTGAGACTTAGAGAATTCTCAAGAATTTGCCACTTTCGGCTTGAAGTTTTGGCAACTCGCTAGAAGTTCTATATTCTATCGTGACTTGGAAACTTCACTAGAATATACTTGGAACCGAACCTGGTGATTTGCTGGTGACTGGTTCTATCTGGTCGAATTTTTAAAATCCATACTGTTCTTCAACTCAGTTTTAACGATCAATATATATTAGTCTGAAAGTCTTCAAGTAACAAATTTCTAATTATTGTTAGTATTATATATTCTTTCACGAATAGAAATGCCTTTCCGCTGTGTTAAATAATTATTTCAAATAAGAATAGATCAAATTTATCAATTACAAACTGAAACGTTGTAGCAGAAAAATTAAGAGTACGCTTGAGAAGTCGTGAATGTAGAGACGACCTACAATTCACTTTCGGCTACCTATAGATTCTTGAAGAAAAAAATAACTCAATTAATATATAAACAGAAAAAAGAAAGGCAATACAAGTTCAGTCTCAAAGGTAACAAAAGCCAAAGTAGTATGAGAGAAAAATTGGATGATTGGATATGTTCCAAACATTCAAGATTAGTTGTTGAATCATGCAAATTGAGGCTTCGTTCGTACAACAAAATGAATGATAGTACTGACTTACGGTACCAAAAAAAAAAACCAAAATCATGATACGCATTAGATAGGAAAAGTGAATCACAATAGAGACTTGTGTCATGAAAGAGCCTCTCAATGTTGTCAGGGAGCCGAGAATTTGCATAACATGTTCAAATTTGAATATCAAGTTAAGATATACCAATCTGATAGTATATGTCGAGAAACCTATTCACCTAAAATGAATCTTTGCTGAACTTTCTTAGAAACTCGACATCTTGTGTATTGCTTCTTGTTCGATCATTTTATATTGAATTCTTCTGAGCAACTTCTCATTCGAGACAGAAAAAAAAGGAGAACAACACAGAACTTTTATCTCATCCAAACAATGAGCTCCATAATGTTTAGGATTTAAAAACTCTCAAAAATCGTAATTGGAAAACATAGAGTTTTAGATTTTTCAAAAAATGTTCCACGAAAAATTTTTTTTCTAAACATTTTATTAGTCTATAAAATATCACATTAAAGAAATATATCAGCATGATGTAATATCTCTTCGTCTTTGAAAAAAACAAAGTACATCAAAATGATAATATCAAAAATTTGTTTTTGATTCACAGTAGAAATAACACACGAAATAATTGCAAAGTTGTTACGATATCAAACCATAATTGTGATGAATATGAATTGATATCAATCGTATGTTTCATTTTGGTATTAAACATTTAAATAGCCGACATAAACGATCTTTTTGATTATCTTGTTTAATTTATGTCATTTGCGTTTCTTAGAGAGTGAATTGTGCCTATCTGTTATATGCATAGTTCATCATCATCTATTTGTC